CCTTCATTTGCTCCTCTAACTCCCCCTATTTGTACAACGTGGGTGTCAGGAAAATAAAGTGATTGTTACTTTATGTCATGTTTTAAGTTGGTATAAGTGCGCGTAGGGATTTTACCATTCCGATGTCCACCGTCTATGGAAATGCTGAGTTGCCGACATGTGGAATTACGGACACAGAGTTCTCATTGCTGGGCTCCTGTATCCCTGACTGGTTACGCACAGTGGTCGGATATTCAAACGTTGAAATCGAAGAAGAAACACCAAAATTTATTCGTATATTTTAACGTGACCTTACTGACCACCCCTGAGGCATGCACTTGCGACAAAATGTCTCCTACCGTGTGCCTGCACAAAAATGCTTCTGAAAGAGAACACTCCTATCTGAACGTCATCCACCCGTTCCCACTGCTCTCTAATGGCACCATATCTGCGAAAAGAAGGTCCAGATTTACACGTCGCCTTGAATTAATTGTTACTTGCACTGTCCTTTGAGAATGCACAGGGTGAAGTTATACCACACCGTGGCTCACGTTTCGGACCATTTTCACCATCATAGGATTATTGCTAGAAGCGGGTTTTCGTTCTGCAAAAAGCAGTGCGACGGGATTTTTTCCGGAAAACTCGCCATCGGAGCCGTAAAAGCATTTAAGCATCACCTGATGCCATCCGGTGCATAGTGTATTCCATCGCCCATCCAAAATATGTGTGTGTGTCTATGTCCCGTGGTGCTGACCTCCTTCCATTTCAATCCACGGCATCATGTTTGTTGTGTTATGTCAAAATCGTTTACTTCATCGTTTTATGAATCGAACCACAGAAGTCGTTCGGACAGAAAACATTGTGGCTTTTTGTCCTCGAACGTAGGAGGACGACCATGTAAAGATGTTCAAGCCCTCTCTCTATCTTAACTGGCGCAGCGATAAAAAACACTACCGTAAATGCTCGCCGAGAGTCGCTGGGGCTCGCATTATTCGATGTGATAGCCATTCTACCCATGACGTGTCATCAGGGTTTTAACACTTGTAGGAATCATCAAGGCTGGGCGCCAAGGTTGCACTGTTGGATTATGTCAACCCCACCCCGAAGGGTACCGTCTGGGGCCTTGGTGGCACATGCGTCAATGTCGGTTGCATTCCTAAGAAGCTGATGCACCAAGCAGCCCTCCTCCGTACGTTTTTCGCCTTGCGAGAATCTTTATTGGAAATTATCCTACTTTGTTGTTTTGTCTGCTTCTTATCATCATCTGATCTTGGGTTAATCTTTTTGTACAAGTTTTTTCCGTAAATAACCTCATCCTAAGTGATCACCTGTAAAATTTGTCGTTGGTCTGTAATTCGCCCATGCTATGCCTCTACTGCCCCGTTTTTGTCTGGTCTCGTGGAGTAGGCATCTGCGCATTTAAACTGACCGTCCCCCATCACACTTACTTGATCAAAATCGTACTCGTACCTCACCTCAGCATTGTTAAATTTCGTCGCCTTATGTTCAGTTAAGCTCCTGAGTCAGATTCATCTCTACCGAACAACAGAGCGCTTGATCAGGATGCTAACGTTTATAATGTAGTTTAGGGGACCATCCCATGGATAATAAATTTTAGTGAGTTTGACTTAATGATGTACGGGTAAGTCATGTCCCGAGGAACAAACCTCAGAAATGTTTTTAACCAGTCTTCGAAAGTCGACTCGCAAAATGTGCTCGCCATATGCGTAGCTTTCCATGTGCATGTTTCATCTACTTGGAGATAATTTGCCTGTCGCGTGCACCGAAAACTACCATTGTCACGAAATCTCAACGACTAATTTCTCAGGAGCTGCGAAACGCCGATCTTACTCTTTTCCCGCACCCGCCCCATCTCATTCACTTAAAGACATCAGTGGAAACGGTCGCACTGACCGTTGTGTTTTGCTGACCAACGTTCATCAAATCTTTCACTAATCCTTCTCTACTGCTTTTTGCAGTGGCTTCAGAAGATATGTCAAATTTAGGTCAAAATACCATTATTATTACTTTTGACTGTATACCGGTCGTTTATCCTGAAAACATACGTTTTGTAGTCGTCCAATGGTGTTGCCTACCTAGAGTCCTTAGTCTACTCCAAAACACTCCACACGATACTAGTGCTTTGTGTGAGGCACTTGTTTGGGTTGGAATAGTTTGTATACCCTCCCCCATCCAACAGGACACGGCAGTAGAAACGCCCCGCCCTCCACGTAATGCAGGTTGACTTACGCTAACTCCCAGAGGGGGTAAACATTTTCATGTTCTACCCCTAACACTAGCCTTCGCCTTGACCGTAACCCAAATCCTAACCCTACCTATAATCCTAACCTCACCTTAGCTCCATACATAATCCCAACGCTAACCTTTATCTTAACCCTAATTTCCGGCCACCTGTATTACGACGCGTATCTGTTCCTGTGTTTCACCGTTATGCAATTTTGATTCAAAATCACCAAGAGGGGTTTCGACAGAGAGACAGATAGCAAGGTGAATCTGCACAATCTTAAATCGATTAGGACGAATTTGTAAACTTTCTCACTCCCATTTTCTGTTGTGATTTGACGTTGTCGCTTCCTTCAGATCACTCCCTTCAGGATGCCAAGTCATTCGGCTGGAATGTCCCTGACAACTGTAAGTCCTAAAATTACAACATTTATGTTTCGAGGCTGAGGCAATTTATGGCGAGTCCTTAATTGTCCTGATGCAAATCCACACTTTTGCTTGATATATCTCTATTGTCAACTTTGCACGGCTACGATCACGCCTGATCTGGCTTGCCTCGATGATGTCGCGGATTGTGCCTGTCCCCACACGTGATGACCTGCAGTAGTGGATCTGGAGGGCTCAATTCACTCTCTTCTCTAGTGACCGAGGTCGAATACGGCAATGCGAGAACTACCTCTGTGTCGTGAGGGACTGCGCTAATCCGGGTTTTGAGTTGGTCTCCCATTTGAGGCCTCTCGGCAGACACTGGCTCCGGATCGAGAACACCAACACTGAAGTCATGGAGTGGACGACAAAAAAGTATCCAGACCATCTCAGCCGCCTTCCATTGATGTGCAATATATCCTCACGATGCTGTCGCAGCAAGTGAAAGCTGTTCCATTCAAGACGAAGTCGGCGTACTTCACACGAGGGATAGGTCTCAGGCAGCGTAGTCAGACTCCTCCGATTTCCACTTTCCTCGCAAACCGCACAGCAGTCGCAACTAAACTCAGCGAATCAGAGGGGTGCTCGCGCACGCTGCTTTTTATGACAATGGAGATGTGCTTTCGGGTCTATAGATACTTCCTAGGGATTAAGAAAATCGTTAAAGTTGCATCCACTTAGGAGACTATGTCCATCTTACTCCGTTCATTTAACAAAAATTTTGCCCCTAGTCACTTGGAACTGTCCTATTTCCCAAACTGACAACCATTTATGTTAAGGGGTTTATTCCAACGGTCAGGAATGGAGCTCGGAAATACTGTGGTCATACTAATGTTTGTGGATAAACTGACTGGCCCAGCGACCCCACCCACCCGCGGCATTCCGTAAATCATAGCTTTGCGCCCACAAGGCGACATAGTTTACGCAGTAGACGTCAGTCAGTCGGCGCCTAGGTACAATTCTGACCCCATCAAAGCCACAGACTGCCGTGGGTTGCTGGTTGGTACATTCACGCCCGTCTCATCCTAGAATCACCCACATTCGGAGTTGCACACAGACCGGAGGCCACCATAAGGCGTTAGGTGATGAGACCAAAAGACCCACTGCCACGGCAAGAAGCATCTGGAGTCGTTTACCAGATCTGGTGCAGTTGCAGACAAAACTACGTCGGCGACACTAGAAGACTGCTCCGGACGCGAGTCGCCGAACACGCGGCAACATTGTGGAGAAATAACGCCAGCTCTCAAGTCGTGGCCCATTCGACGAGACCTAGCCACACATTCAAGTTCGATGAGGTCGAAATTCTCGCGAGAGGTGGTAATCGCGTGAGCCGCGATTTGCCTGGGTCAGGACTGACGGGTCCCCAGTCTATCAGCAAGTGCAATGACATCCTCACCACATATTCGGTGCTGCGGCATAGTCTGGCCAAAGTAATTGGTCACTCGTGGAGCGCGCAGGCCGCGGAACCATCATCATGCCAACAGCCAACGCGAGTGATGAAATTTCAGCAGTTACCAACTTGCCTGCCGGCCATCAAGCAATTAGCGCACCAGTGGGCAACAATCTTTGATGAGGGGGGAGGGCGGTTAATTATCATAGGTATGCAGTAACATAGCGACTGCGTCCTATAAAGGCTGCAACTTCCTGTGCAGGAATCACCCATATCTGTTACTGTCTCTGATGATGGGTTCGATCGTGAATCCGAAACGTCAGGCGAATAAAGCACTTGTCCCAGCAATCGCTTCTACTTTTTATCAATGGTAGACAGTCGCAGTAACGTCGATGAAGCTTATGCTGCGGAAATTCCCATACTCTGCTTGAAGCCAGGCACAAGGATAATCATGCCCTAGTCATCGGAAACGTGCTTGCCCAATCGCCTCTTAAAACCAGAGCACCAGATAGTCCCAGTATTGTAGATTTCAGTGGTAATGTCCTCGGCGCCATCTTGTTATGCCGCCGCAGTACGTCATCGACGATTAGAATGTCACAAGATATTACGTAGACCGGGGAGGGAAGAGCTCTGCTGAAGAGCGATGTGGTAATCGAAAGTGATGTGCCGGAAATGCCAATGCGAGTGCTCGACCTTTTCCGACTAGTCAACAATAAATTCGCCACTCACATCCTGAATAGAATCGTTCGGCGCAGGGTGCCTATCGCCAACTTAACAACAGGTTTTTGCATGTCACCGACGTCGGAGGCATGCTCCAAGGAGGTCGTCGCTTCAGGTCAATGATTATCGTGGTCACCTCTAGTTGGCCTCTCCGTCATTTCCCGGCGTTGGTAAGAGAATTCACTACAGAGATTAATTCAAGTTGTCAGCGCAGGCCACTGTAAGGTCCACGACCTGATCTCATCACTGCGGCGTCGTTGAATGAAACCTATAATTCCCTCGGACTGAAGATTTCGATCACCTGTGCTCTGTCCTTCCTGTAGCATCTAATGCAAACTTTCGCTATTTCATGCTATTGAAAATATTGCCCGCTGCCGACTAGCTTCCACTCGCTTCACTTTAACAACTGGTAAATATTCCACATCCGATTTAATGCAACATTAAGTCCGCGTCGTCTACAACGCCTGAACTACCGTTTCTGAGGCTGACAGAGACAGAATGGGCTTACGTTTTTGAATCCGGCCATTTTAGGGCATATCACTAGTTCCTCGTGTGCATAAATTTCTCGCCCAGTGTCGATTCACTTTTTAAACTGAAACCAACTCTAAAATGTCTCGTGAAATGTTAGTCGAGATTCCGTGTTATGTTTTCCACGAGGAGGGATAGCTAAGATGGGGTTGTAATGCTGCTTATCATATAGCATAGTTCCAGAATATCCAAATCACATTTCTGCTCGATAACTTGTTTCATCTGCTCTGATGAAACAAGTTATCGAGCAGAAATGAAATACCTCTACAAACTGTTCTCCCAAAATGGGTACCCGTATGACTTTATACGTCAATGCATGAGGCACCAGCAACTCAAGGAAAAAGGTATTTCCAATGCTACGGCCGCTCAGGCACCAAAACTAACCACATGGCGAACTCTCCCATACGTCAAGAATGTATCTGAATTAGTCGAAAGACAATCGAAGAAGTACCAGATACACATAGCACACCAACCGGTCTCAAGACCGGCAAGTGCAACAAATACGCTACTCTGATGATGGAAACGAGGAAGTTTCCGAAATGTCAGTTCGAATACAATATGGTCCATGAATTCGCCCTCTCTTCTTCTTCGTCTTCTTCGGGAGATGATGAACGCGATACAATGTCTGGACCTCGAATCTTTACGCATATCGATATATCGATATATGTATATGTGTATATTATGACAGTGGGCGCTCGCCGATCTGGTTACGGAACATGCTCTTTCCGTTGTGCCTTGGGGCTCATACTAGAACCCTCGCAGGCAGTCGCACAGCGACTAGTAGTAGACATAGATGAGATGATACCGACAAAGACAAGGGAGACCGGAATGGCCATTTCTGGTTTATTAGCCGTCATCAGC